TAAAAAAAAAAAAAAAAAGTAACTTAATCTCTGAAACTTAGGTCCCCCATCTAGGGTTTAGATTTTTTAGTTTTTAAATTTTAATTTTTAAAAGGCTTTCTAGCAGTAAAACTTTTCAGACTCTTAACACTGTGCTTTTTTTCTTCTTTAAGACTACCAACCAACTTTGTGATTTCTTCAGGTTAAGGGAATGAGGAAAAAGACAAAACATCTCAAACTTTTCCTGGTGACATAAATTCTACTTAGAATAATGAAAGTATTGGTTATTTAAAATTTAAATCAATACTTATTTAATAGACTCACTCATCAAAAACTTTAAAGGGAACTCTTTTCACACAAACATGCGTCTAATTTTAGCAATACCTGGTTGGCTAAGACTAAAAACTTCTTGTCTTCGTGAAGGAGAATACTGGGAGAGCAACATCAGGTCCTGCAGGGCCAAATACTAGAGAAAAACATATATATTATTAGTTTTTTAACTTCTATTTAAAATCTTATTTATGAATTGGGTACAACATTATACATCCTAAGGGAAGAATTTTTCATGATGGAAATATTTTAGAACCATAACCTTCCTTTCTAGATTTCCAGAACTTTCTTACCTCTATACCCTTCCCATCCACTTTAGGTTCCAGCTATAAGAAGCTACAAATTCTCTGTGTTCTTTCAACCTCTGTGGATGAAAAGAAGTATCATTCCCTCCTGGTACTCTGCTTGGCCTTCCCCTATAAACATACACTCACACAGCTCTTAACTGTGACAATTAACTGTGCTGTAATTGCCCATTTACTTGTCTTGTCTGGTTCCACCCACCAAACTGTGAAGCTCAAGATAGCAGGAACAGCATCTTGCTTACTACCACATCCAAAGACGATGACTGGCAAAATGTAGACATGCAATATCTGTCATTAAGTTTTTACTGAGAATTTGTTTTCTTGGCAAGCCTCTTTAGTCATCTTGAAAGACGGCATCCCTTCTGTGAAACTCTTTTATTGGTCTCGAGCAGATAAAGTGGTTCTCACCGCACCAGCTATGGTCACTTTTCCTTATTCTATGTGTCTTCTTTTTTTAGGTTGTGTGATGTCATATTCATCATTATACTGTAAGCAAGTGGCAATGACTGATACTTGTTAGGTGTCGTTTAGTTGCCTCCAACTCATAGCGAACATAGCGTTCACACAAGATTGAAACACTACCTGGTCACGTGCCATTCTCATAATCCTTGCTAAACTTGAGCCCATCATTGCAGCCACTTTGTCAATTCATCTTATTGAGGATCTTCCCCCTTTTTGCTGACCCTCCACTTTACCAAGCATGATCTCCTTCTCCAGGGAATGGTCCCTTCTGATATGACTGAAGTAGGTGAGATGAAGTCTGGCCATCCTTACTTCCAAGGAATATTTCAGCTGCACTTCTTCCAGGACAGATCTGTTCATTCTTCTGGCAGTCTACAGTATTTTCAGAGTTCTTTGCCAACACCACAATTCAGAGGCATCAATTCTTCTTCAGTTTTCCTTATTCATTGTCCAGCTTTCCCATGCACATGAGGAGAATGAAAATCCATGTTGGGTTAGGTACACCTTAGTCTTCAAAGTGACATCTTTGCTTCTTATCACTGAAGAAGTCCCTTGCAGAGATCTGCCCAGTGTAATACACCATATGATTTCTTGACTGCTGCTTCTATGGGTGTTGACAGTGGATCCAAGAAAAAGGACAACTTCAATCATTTCTTCATTTATCATGATGTTGCTTATTGGTCCAGTTGTGAGAATTTTCATTTCATGTTAAGGTGTAATCAATACTGAAGACTACAGTCTTTTATCAAGTGCTCCAAGTCTTCTTCTCTTTTAGCAAGCAAGGTGTTTCACATGCATATCACAGGTTCTTAATGAGTCTTCCTACCATCCTGATGTCACATTATTCACACAGTCAAGCTTCTCAGGTTATTTGCTCAGTATGCAAACTGAATAAATATAGTAAAAGGATACAACCCTGACACACACACTTCCTGATTTTAAACTATGCAGTATCTCCTTCTTCTTTTCGAATGATAGCCCCTTGGTCTATATACAGGTTCCTCATAAGAACAATTAAGTATTCTGGAATTCCTACTCTTTGTAATGTTACTTATAATTTGTTATGATCCGCACAGTCAAATGACTTTGCATAGTCAATAAAACACAAGTAAACCTCTATCTGGTATTCTACGTTTTCAGCCAAGATCCCTTTAATGTCAGCAATGATATTCCTTGTTCATATCCTCCTCTGAATCCAGTTTGAGTTTTTGGAAGTTCCCTGTCAATATACTGCTGCAACTATTTTTTAATTATCTTCAGCAAAATTTTACTTGCATGTCATATTAATGATACTGTTCGATAGTTTCCATATTGTTAAATCACCTTTCTTTGAAAAAAACACAAATATCAATCTCTTCCAGTCCATTAGCCAAGTAGCTGTCTTCTAATTTCTTGGCATAAACGAGTAAGCACCTGCAGCACTGCATCCTTTTTTTGAAATATCTCAATGGATATTCCACCAATTCCTAGAGCCTTGTGTTTCATTCACCAGTACAGCTTGGACTTCTTCCTTCAATATCATTGGTTCTTGATCATATGTTACCTACTGAAAGGGTTGAATATGACCAAAATTCTTTTTGGTGACTCTGTATTCCTTCCTTCTTCTCTTGATACTTCTTCCATTGTTCAGCATTTTGCCCACAGAATATTCTATATTGCAATGTGAGGCTTGAATTTTTCTTCATTTCTTTCAGCTTGATAAATGCCTAGAGTGTTCTTTCCTTTTGGTTTTCTAATTCCAGGTCTTTGCACGTTTCATTTTAATACTTTACTTCATTTTCTTGAAGGGTGCCCTTTAAAATCCTCTGCTCAGCTCTTTTATTTCATCATTTATTCCATTTGCTTTAGCTACTCTTTGTTCAAGAGCAAGTTTCAGAGTCTTTTCTGACATCAATTTTGGACTTTTCATCCTTTCCTGTCTTTTTAATGACCTTTTACTTCTTCATGTATGATGAAGTAAAATTTGTGAAAAGCTAATGCATATTAGTGGGATATCATCCCACAAATCGTCTGTTCCTCAGTCACTGTTGCTCAATGTATCAACTCTATCCTTCAGATGGTCTCTAAATTCAGGTGGGATATAATCAAGATCATATTTTGGCTCTTGTGAACTTATTTTCATTTTCATCAGCTTCAACTTGAACTTGCATATGAACAATTGATGTTCTGTTCCACAGTCAGCTCCTGGCCTTGTTTTGACTGATGATACTGAGCTTCTCCATCACCTCTTTCCACATTTAATATGCAATTTGATTTGAGTCCTGTGTATTCTATCTGGGAAGATCCATATGTATAGTCACTGTTTAAGTTGTTGAAAAAAGGTATTGATAGCTAAAAGGTATTGAAAAAATGACTGACACATCATTAATCCATTTGTTTAATAATCAAATAAGTAACTAATGTTTTACAGTTTATCTAATAAATTAGTCATAACTGATATTTAAAGGTAAATTAATCAATGACTCATTTTATTATCAGTTTATAACTTCTCTAGGGTATGATCAAAACTGACTTCTAACCATTTTCTTTCAATTCTTTTTTATAAAATACCACGACCTTTCAACAAAACCATACATATTTTAAGTCTACTTTAAAATTTTAATATGCAATTTGAATGAAAACCATTTATTCTAACTTAGCTTGATTTGTAAACTTACTGGAACTTCTTTGAAGTTTTTTCATCAATATACTTTCTGGAATCATTATCAGTAATTCATATTTAAAGGGAGTCCAATGCCAAGCACTACCTCTGGTCACAAAAAACAAATACTACATGAGTATAAAAATATATGCTGACCCATTGATAAAAAAAAATTCAAGTGTTTTCTTTTGTAACCAGGCAAAATTTGTGAAAAGCTAATACATATATGATCAGATCTCATCATCTTTTCTTTGCTTGCAAATATTTTTATATTTATTCTGAATACAGACCCTGTCAGCGAGCTTGTACATGTAACACTGACATATACTTGCATTTTATTAACTTGGAATGAAAATTGAAAAAGTAACAGCATCCAATGTACTGAGTAGGTGATTTTTATAATACTAATATTTGAATTAGTATCATAAATATATTAGAATATAGTGAGCCCTCAAAAATGTATCAAAGTTTGCTAAATATTAAGCCCATTCTGTAAGATGAATTAGAGATGGCTGTGTAAAGACATACAATGCACAGTTTGGCTACCTTTATGATGAGGGGAGGATTGCTGTTTAACACTTTTGGGAGGCACTCATCTGACTCTTCTGCAAATGGTGGCTGAACAGGAAACAGATGAGCCTATCAAATATAAGCAAATATAATGGCTATGAAAATGATTAATTTCAGGACCTTATTACATTCAGTAAGTGAGCCCTAATTGGAATGTATTAAGAAAGGAGATAATATAATCAAATTAACATCTTTACTGCTCCTTGCAAAAACAGGTTATACTAAAGTTATAAATACCCAAACACACCACTTTCTAAAATGTTACTGTTCCAGTTCTTCTATTAGGCCTCTGGCTTCCAATAATAGAAACAAATTTCAGAAACAAACATTCTCTGAAGCCACAAAAAGATACAACCCTACAGAGATGGTAAAATGAAACTGAAACACTCATTTACTAAGAGGAACACTTTGATAAAAAACAAAGTAACTTCTCTAGAGTATGATCAGAATTTAAGAGATTTTTGTCTGAATTACCCAGATGATCACCTCAGTTTTCAAAATTATTTCCTTAAGATATATTTCAAAACTTTCCTTCAAAGAACAAATACTATATTGCCCTAGATTTAAATATTTTAATAATATCTGTATCAATAGCATATAAAATTAATTTAAAATTCAGAAATGGAAGCCTCCAGAGAACTAGACTATAGATAAAGCATAGTAAGTAAGCACCATTACTAGTCTAATCAATTTAAAATTAAGTTAACACTGTTTCTGAGAAGGAACTACAAAGTAAATGATGATTACAAATAACTTGTCCCTGACAAGTGAGACCAAAACCTAATTTATCAAAATGGCTTCGGCATACCATCCCAATTAGTACTCTACTAAAAAATCAATCTGTGCACTGCAAAACATAGAAGAATGAACAAAAAAGCTCAGTACTAACCTCTGTAGCATAGATTTTGAAGAGTATCCATGAAATGTACCAAGTCGTTAGGAGAAAGACACCACATAGCCAGACATGGTAGAGCAATGAGAGATTCAAGAGACCACTCACTGTGTCAAGAGGATGTAACTGCCTACAGAAGGAGAAATTACTATTTAATACTATGGGAAATATGTGATCTAAATAATTTACAAACTTGAAGCAAACACGCTAAGAGACAAAGAAATCCTATTTCTAAATAATAATGGTGATACTCCTCTTCTTTTGTACCCTGCAGAGTTTTTTTCCTGAACCTTTCTTATGAGGTATATAAGGGAGCTTTAGAGGAGTGGACCTTCTCCACTCTGGAGAGCGGAAAATGACACCGCAATTTCCTACGCTCCAAATCTTCATCATCATTTATTATGGAGGAAGAATGAGCCAAGCCTCAAGTCTAACTACCAGAGATTAGGTGAAATTTAATTATTGTTGTTCTGTAATTTTATATTTAAAAACCATTTAGCATGACTACCACCTCTGGACCAGATTTCAGCTCTACCTGTATATATACTATAAACAGTTTCAGATATTAAAAGCACATACTACTACCTAAAAATAACAATTCTTTATATTTAAAACATTTTAATAAACTTCATTAGAGTTTTAAAGAAAGCTGATGCTACCTCACCAAAACTTTGAATACATCAATTAGAAAAGTCATCATAATTCTAAAATTACAAGTAACAATTGTGAAAACCAGGATTTGAACCTCTGACTCTGCCATTTATGAGTGATATAATCAGATGAGAAGCCTTGGTAGCATAGTGGTTAAGCACTCAGCTGCAAAACAAAAAGTTGGTGGTTCAAACCTACCAGCCCCTCTGCGGGAAGATGGGGCAATCTGTATCAGTAAAGATTACAGCCTTGGAAAACTTACAGGGTAGTTCTCTCATCCTACAGGGGCACTAACAGTGGGAAACGACTCAACAGTAGTAGTTCTTCGTTGTTTTTCAAGTGGGTAATTAGGTAAATCACACGATCCCACCAACTCTCAGTTTTCTCATCCATGTAACCAACATATATATCCGTTGCCATTGAGTCCATTTTGACTTATGGAGAACCCGTGTTATACAATGCTTGCCACAATGAGAGTGCATGGGATCAAACTACCTTCTGGTTAGCAGTTTAGTGCAAACTGTCTGCCCCATCCAGAGACTGTGTTCTGCCTCTTGGAGCTATTATGAAATTTAACACAGCTTACACCAAGAGTGCACAGCATAGTGCTTGACATTCACTGTGAGGACGACGGGGGTGTCAGTAAACGCTGGATTAGTTTTTAAGTAAATATTTACTGAGGGCCTGGCATACAGATGGACAGAGTATCAGGCACTATGCCATACAAACATTTTTTAAATTAAAGAAGAAAAAAGTATGATGTTAAATTTCTGTCAAATATTATTTTTGCCTTTCCATTTGCCCCAGTTTAAAATCTGGGCTAACACAATAAATGACCCATGCATTTGGTTTTCTACCTAATAGCTAAATGGAAGACAAAACTCTGTTTTACCTAGGCACTTTTTTAAAAAAGTTAGGAATTGAAGTCTACACTGTAGAAATCATCCTCTCTCTTAACAAGTTAAACATAAATATCCATGTATTCCAATATTCCTACTCTCAAAAACTGGCCACTAGTGAACGCCATAAATGATTGTGATGTGATACTGTTGTTGTTAGGTATCATTGAGTCATCTCTTACTCAGAGACCCTATGCACAGAACGAAACACCACCCAGTCCCACGCCAGCTCCACGTTCCTTGCTATACTTGAGCCCGTTGCCGCAGCCACCGTGTCAATCCATCTCGTTGAGGGCCTTCCCCTCTTTCATCAATCCTTCACCTTACCAAGATGACTTCCTTGTCCAGGGAATGGTCCATTCTGATAACAAATGACCAAAGCAGGTGAGATGAAGTCTGACCATTCTCACTTCCAACAAGCATTCCAGCTGCATTTCCTCCATGACAGATCTGTTAGTTCTTTTAGCAGTCCATGGTATTTTCAGCATTCTTCGCCAGCACCACAATTCAAAAGCATCAAGTCTTCTTTGGTCTTCCTTATTCATTGTCCAGCTCTCACATGTATATGAGGCAACTGAAAATATCACGGCTTGTGTCAGGCGCACCTTAGTCCTCAAGGAGACATCTTTGCACCTCAGCACTTGAAAGAGGTCCTTTGCAGCCGACTTGCCCAGTGCTATACATCGTCTGATGTCCTGATTGCTGCTTCCATTGGCATCAATTGCAGAACCAAGCAATGTGAAGTCTTTGATAACTTCAGTCTTTTCTACATTTATCATGAAGCTGCTTATAAGTCCAGTTGTGAGGATTTTTGTTTTCTTTATATTGAGATGTAATCCATACTGTAGACTGTATTCTTCAATCTTCATCAATAAGTGCTTTAAGTCATCCTCACTTTCAGCAAGCAAAGTTGTGTCATCAGCGTATCGCAGGTTGTTAATGATTCTTCCTCCAATCTTCATGCCATGCTCTTCTTCATACAGTCCAGCCTCTCGAATTATTTGCTTAGCATATAGATGGAATAAGTATGGAATAAGTATGGTGAACAGATACAACCCTGACACACTCCCTTCTTGATTTTAAGCCACGCAGTGTTCCCTTGTTCTGTTTGAACGACAGCCTCCTGGTCTATGTGTAGGTTCCTCATGAGTACAATAAAGTTTTCTGGAAATTCTCATTCTTCTCAATGTTATGTGATGTGATGTGATGAGTTACTTTTATATGGCCTTTCTAGTCATGATCTTGGAACTCTCAAAGAAAGACTGGAGACTGAGCAGAACTATGCAAATAAGGTGCCTATAGCCCCCTAAGGTGATTGGATTGTTGTTGTTGTTGTTATGTGCCGTCGAGTCGGACCTGACACATAGCAACCCCTCCTTGGGTTTCCGAGGCAGTATCACTACGGAAGTAGATTGTTTAACCTTCCTTCTGAGGAGTGGCTGGTGGGTTTGAACCGCCAGCCTTCTGGTTAGCAGTCAAGTGCCTTAGGCACTATGCTACCAGAGCTCCCAGGTGATTGGATAGCTTGCTGCAAATATAAGTAAGGTACATGGCAGCCTTGTAGGGGTGGGACCATGCAAAGGTGTATAGAACCATAACAAGCGAATTGGTCAGTTTTGCTATCCCACTAGGCTTAAAATGAGACATCCCAGAAGTGGACTTGGGGAGGAGGTGACTATCACCAAAAAAAAGGCAGGGTCCCTATATTAGGAACCTGCTAGACCTAGGAGATAGCTCTAACACTGAAGTTGGTTTAAAAAAAAAAAAAAAAAAAAACAGCAGAGAAACTGTGGCAGTAGAGGTAGCAGAACCAGAAGGTTGATAGCACAGTTGGCTTTCTAGCCCATGGAGCAAGAAAGCATAGTACCTTTGGGTAGGAGGCTTGCTGGCACAGTGAGGTGCCTCCAGATACTTATCGGTGGAATTAAAATGCTTTGTAACACTCCCCTGAGCACAGCAGAAGCTGGGCAGCCCAAGAGGCCTGAAGGGCAGAGGACATGGCTGAGAAAAGGCTATCCTAACTGAAGAACTATATCCTGAGTCTTTCCTGATCCTGAGATACAATCTGTTACTTCCCTAATAAACCCCATAATCTGAGTATTGTCTGTGAGTTGTATGTGGCCATTACAACAAACTATTGAACCCAGCAAAGAAGTAGAGTACAACGTAGGAGGGATAACTGGTATCAGAATTGGTAAAAAGGTTGGAGAGAGGTGGCATATCTGACCACCATCTCACAGGAATAAGCCTTAGGCTGTTACTGGTAATGGTGATTTTCCCCTCTTAGGAAATTCAAGAAAGTCAGACACCCCCACCATGCCATTTTTACAATGATACAGAAAGTCTCCCAGTGGAGAGGCACTGAGTTTACAATAATGGTGGCAGAATAATTAGGAAAAAGATAGGGATAAGAGTTGCCTAACAAAAAGCATATAATCAGTATCACTGAATTGTGCACAGAGAAACTTGAATTGGCAATTATATGTGTGTGTGCATGTGTGCGTGTGTGTGTGAAAGAGAGAGAGAGAGAAAGATTTTTTTTTTAATTCCCTTCACCCAAGTGAATGTGTGTCTTCCTTCTAGTTAGTGGTTTAACCTCTCTCCCCCACCCAACCCTGGTAACCATCAAAGAATTATTTCTTTTTCTGTGAAACCATTTTCTTTACTTTTTATAATGGTCTCATATATTTGTCCTTTTGTGTTGACTGATTTCACTCAGCACATTGCCCTCTAAGTTCATCCATGTTATGAGATGTTTTGCAGATTCCCTGTTGTTCTTTAATGTTGCATAGTATTCCACTGAATGTATATACCAGTTTGTTGATCCATTCCTCCACTGATGGACATTTAGGCTGCTTGCATCTTTTTGCTATTGCAAACAGTGCTGCAATGAATATGGATGTACATATATCTCTTCATGTCAAGGCTCTTATTCCTCTAAGATATATACTAGTACTGGGATTGCTGGATCATATGGTATTTCTATTTCTAGTTTTTTAAGGAAGCGTCATACCATTTTCCACAGAGGATGGACCATTTACAGTGCCACCAGCAGTGTATGAGGGTCCCAGTCTCTCCATACCCTTGCCAGCATTTATTATTTTCTGTTTTGTTGAACTGTGCTATTAGTGCTGGGGTGAGATGATTTGTATCTCTCTAATGACTAATGAAGAAGCTCTAGTAGCATAGTAGCATAGTGACTAAGGCATTTGACTGCTAACCAGAAGGCTGGCAGTTCAAACCTAACAGCCAGTAGGAAGGAAGGTTGGGCAATCTACTTCCATAGTAATACTGCCTCGGAAATCCAAGGAGGGGTCGCTATGAGTCGGGTCCAACTTGACGGCACATAACAACGACGACGACTAATGATGGTGAGCATTTCTTTATGTGTTTGTGAGCTGCCTGAATATCTTCTTTGGTGAGCTGTCTATTCATATCCTCTGCAAGCTTTTTAATTAGAATATTTGTCCTTTTGTTGTTAAAGTGTTGAAGTTTTCTACAAATTTTAGAGATTAGACCCTAGTCCGATATGTCATTGCCAAAATTATTTTCCCAGTCAGTGTTTTTACTCTTTTGATGAAATCTTTTGATGTACCTAAGCGTCTAATTTTTAGGAAGTCCCAGTTGCCTTCTAGTGTTTGTGCATTTTTAGTCACATTCGTGACTAAAAGTGTATTTATGCCCTGAATTAAGGTCCTTGAGTTTATCCTTATTTTTTCTTTTATATTTATGGTCTTAGGTCTTACATTCAGGTCTCTGATTCAACTTGAGTTCGTTTTTATATACAATGTTAAATATAGGTCCTGATTCATTTTTCTGCAAATGGATATCCAGTTTTACCTGCACTGTTCATTAAAGAGACCATCAGTTCCCCATTTACCCTCTGCCAAAGATCAGCTGTCCATAGATACATGGATTTACTTCTAGGTTCTCAAATCTGTTCCACTGGTCTATGTGTCTCATTGTACCATTATCAGGTTGTTTTAACTACCGTGGCTAAACAGTAGGTTTTCAGATTGGGGAGTGTGAGGCCTCCTACTTTGTTTTTCTTTAGCAGTACTTTACTTATCCAGGGTCTCTTTCTTTTTCATATAAAGTTAATAGTTTTTCCATCTCTTTAAAGAAGAATAATGAAATCTGGATTGGGATTGCATTGACTCTATAGATTGTTTAGGGTAGTATTGATGTTTTCATGATATTAGTTCTTCCTACCTATGAGCGTGATACACTCCTCCACTTATGTAGGTCTCTTACAGTTTCTTGTAATAGTGTTTTATGTTTTCTTTTTATAGGTCTTTTGTGTCTCTGATTAAATTTATTCTTAAGTACTTAAATCTTTTAGGTAGTTATTGTAAATGGTATTTGTTTCCTAATTTCCTTTTTAGAGTTCTCTTCATTAGCATAATGGAATCTGATTGATTTTTGTATGTTGATGCTGTATCCTGCCACATTGCTGAAACTTTCAATTAATTCCAATAAGTTTCTTACTGAGTCTTTGGGACTATCTATGTATAAGATCATATCATCTGCAAACAAAGATACTTTTACTTCTTCTTTGACAATTTGGATGCCTTTTATTTACCCTTCTGGTAATTGGTAAATGTTTTGTTGTGTGTATTTGTACCATTAAAAAAAAAAAGCATTATACTGAAATAACCAATAATTAAAAGAACAAACACTAAGAAGAAAAATCTACATAATATATATTAAAGCATTAACTATGTGCAAGGTGTATGGGAGATAAGGAGAACAATGTTCCAGTGCTGCCACTCAATTGCATTTGTGACCTTCAACTGGCCACTTGACCTTGCTCAATTTTTATTTCATCATATGCAAAATTAGAACAATATCACACCATTCTGGTTGTCTACTAAAACATAGCAAAGAATAAATGACTACTGAGAAGAAAAACAATACAGAAACATAGCCCATGCAACTCAGAGGTTGAGGTCAATTTTGTATAATATAAAAGCTGCATCTAACAAAAAACAGATTATCATTGCTTACTTCTGGGAAAAGGAATGGAATGGCTGGAAGCAGGCAGAAGGAGAATTTTTATTGTATATTCTTTTGTATACCTTTGGAATTTTAAACTGTATGAGTATTTATTTAAAAGGTTAAATCTAAACAAAACACCCAGAAAGCAGCAAACACCAAAAAGGATGGAAACAGAATTACAATTAGATTTTTTTTCTTTATCACTTACTTATCTCTCTGAAGGTCCATGGCGGTGCTAATCCAAGCTTTGGGAATATGGCCTGAAGGAAAAAATAACATACTATGACCATAAGAAGTTAACAAATCTTAATCATGCTATAGCATATGAGGTCAATTAGATGGTCTAATATAGACACCAAAACCTAGTCAAAATTCTAGAATTTCAGCTATGTGACTATCCAGTTATCCTTTTCACCCATAGGTTTGGAATCTGTGGTAGGCAGAATAAAGGTCCCCTAATGTTGTTCATATCCTAACCTCTGAAACCTGTGAATATGTTACTTTACATGTCAAAGGGATTTTGCAGATTGATTAAGGAAAGATTACTCTAAATTATTCAGGTGGATAAATAAGAAGGCAGGAGAGTCAGAGTTGAAGAATGAGATGTGACAACAGAAAGCAGAGGTAACCCAGAGAGAAAAAGAAATGAAGATGCTATATTGCTGACCTTGAAGATGGCGAAATGAGCTATGAGGCTCTAAAAGCTGGAAAAGGCAAGAAATTAGCTTCTCCCCCTTCAGCCCCCAGAAGTAACACAGCCCTGCTAACACTTTGAAAGATTTCTAAATACAGACAAGTCCTCACTTTTCACGGTTCCAATTTATATGAATTACATCAGTCCCCCAACAACATGGTTCAAATTTCAGCCGTATCATATATTAACTGTGAGTAACTGCATATAATACTTTCTTAGTTTTCAGTCCACAAATCACTACATGACTATCAAATACACACCATCATCTGTGATCAACCATGTCACCATTTTCAAAGTCTTTTAGAGACTGGTCACTGCACATCTGTTATCCAGTCCAGGCACAGACAGCACAGCATGTAGTTGTGTTGCCTCCATGTCTCCAGTGAGAAACTCACAAGACATTTTACAGAAATGAATAGTTAAAAAAACAAAACTGGCCAAGAAAGACTGAAGTCCAAAAAAAAACCAAAAAAAAAGGAAAAGTGGTAATAATAAAATTAAATTAAAATAAAAAATAAATAGAGTTCTAGAAGTAATAGCTGCCCATGAAAATGCTGACTATACCATTGTGTCAGCCCAAATATACAACTAAAAGGAACTGTCAGGCTGACTGCAGTAGGTTAATACAATACAATAAAGTGTTACCATTAGAATGACAATTACAAGAACTACATAGAAAATTATATAAATTATACATAGACAATAAATAGAATGACCTATACAGAGTGAAAACAATTTTGTAAAGTTATACCCACGGAAGAAAAAAGGCTTTAAAAAAAGTTATATTCTTATAGTCCACAAAGAAAAGATATTATACTTCGGCAAACAGCAACTAGGGTCTTAAAAGCCTATGAGCAGCCATCTAAGGTACAGCTATTGGTCTCTCCATGTTTGGAGCAAAGAAGAATAAATAAAATCAAAGATGCATGGACAGAACTAGTCCAAAGGACTAACAGACCATGTGAACTTCAGCTTCCATGACCCTTAGAACAGAAGACACAGATGGTGCCCGGCCACCACTACCAACCACTCCGAAAGGTATCATATTAGAAAGCACTGGACAGAGTGGGAAAAAAACATTGAACAAACTCAAAATCATAAAAAAAAAAAAAAAAAAACAGGCTTACTGGTCAGATAGAGACTGGTGGAATCCCCAAGACTATGACTCTTACTACCCATTGGACTAGGAATTGAACTAACTGTGTTGTTGTTTGCCGTCGAGTCGGCCCCGACTCATAGCGACCCCTCCTTGGGTTTTCGAGGCAGTATCACTACGGAAGTAGACTGCCCAACCTTCCTTCCAAGGAGTGGCTGGTGGGCTTGAACCACTAGCCTTCTGGTTAGCAGTCAAATACCTTACACACTACACCACCAGAACTCCTAAACTAACCTTAGTGGCTCAATTTTCAGCCAAACAATAAATAGGTCCACAAGGTAAACAATAACAATCCTTAGAACAATCAACCATATGAGATCAAAAGGGTAGCATTTACCCAAGGACAAAGTTCAGAAGCAGGAAGGATGAGAAAAGGAGAAGGAATGGAAATGAAAAACACAGGGAGGAAGTAGGATGAATGATATTACATTGAAGGGATAGCAATCAATGATAGGAAACAAAATGTGTATGAACTGTTGAATGGAAAACTGATTCTCTGTCAACTTCCACTCAAATCACAATAAAAAGATTAAAAAAAGGTTAGCACAAAACAGTTTATTTTAGAATGTTGGATTTTGTTTAAATATTATGTTGCTACTAAGATTAAGTTTTCCATTGAACTTGCACTGTTCATTACACTAATTAACTGTACTTTTGTGCCTAAAATTCACATTAACAAATTCTACAAGGTTCCTTCAGCAACAGTATGTTTCTACTATAATAGTACCAAGTTGCAAACTTATGAAAAAGAGTATGCCCTTTCTAAACAGAATAATGAACAAATGACATATAATATTTTCCCTTAAGCAAATCCTCTTTGAACAATTTAAATAATGAATGTTAGGCTAATCACATACAGGCAGTCTTCAGTTTCCAAATGTTCAACTTACAGACAATTCCTACTTGCCCTGTAATGCAGAGCTTCAAACTAGTTCTGTCACAGCCGACAAAGTGAAAAAGAAACAGACCTGAATTTTTACAATTTGAGTGATTCGTCACAGTAACCAAAACCAGAAAAATTAAAGGTCGAAGCCCTGGAATGGGAGACTCAGAAGACTGGGGACTCAGAGATATGTAGTGAACCTTCCAGGAGACTGATGTGTGAGACTAGACTACTGGCAAGACTGTAGAGAACCACACATATTCCAACAGGATGCTCTTAGCCACCACCTTTGAGCAGGCGCCGCCATCTTTGAGCTTCTTCAACCATGTCTAAACCAGAAAGAATTGGTTCAAAGCCTTGCTCAGAAAAAATTGAACAAACTCCTACTCACAACAAATTCTTTGTCACAGTCACTTTCACTTAACTGCACGTGCAGCTTTTAAATCACTGCACTAAAACCAAAACCAAAGCCACTGCCATCGAGTTGATTCTGACTCAAAGCAACCCTACAGGACAGAGTGCAACTGCCCCATAGTGTTTTCAAGGCTGTAAATCTTTACAGAAGCAGACTGCCTGCCTCATCTTTCTCCTGCAGAGTGGCTTGTGGGTTCGAACTGCTGACCTTCTGGTTATCAGCCAAATGCTTTAACCATTACACCACCAGAGCTCCTTCTTGCACTAAAAGTAAGGCTAAATAAGAATCACATGTAACTGTTCTGACTGACCTACAAATTCTTAAAGACACAGGAACAGATCTTATTCATAACCTGGGGACTGCCTATATCTATAATTGTAGGAAACACACAAATACAATCAAGAATGAGTTTGTAACTGACATTTTCTAACACATGAGTTAATATATATACTATATCAAAAAGCAAAAATTCTTACCCAGAAAGTAATATAAGATGCAGAAATTTCTAACCAGGAATAGTGATTCCACACAACTATGTTTAACTAGTAAGAGCAGAGATCTCCTAAAGCGCAAGAATTTGTATTGCTGTGGAAAAAAAGAGAAATAATCAAATGATAAACATCCAAACAGAGGTTCTACTTCATTCTAAAGCAAGCACTTAACTCTAACAGTCAACATATAAAACATTAATCTTTGCATTAAAAGTTTATCCAGAGTCAAAATAATCAACTATTTCTGATGTTAAAATATTTAAATTATACAGTATCTTTCTGGTATAAAGATAATAATGATTATAATACCAAGAAGAACTAAGGTTAGTTCAATATATACATGTGAGAGCTGGACAAAGATAAAGGAAGACCAAAGAAGAGTCGATGCTTTTGAGTTGTGGTGTTGGTGAAGAATACTGAAAGTACCATGGACTGCCAAAACAACTAATAAATCTGTCCTGGAGGAAGTGAAGCCAGAATGCTCTTTGGAAGCGAGAATGGCCAAACTTCGTCTCACCTACTTTGGTCATGTTGTAAGAAGGGACCATTCTCTGGAGAAGGATATCATGCTTGGAAAAGTGGAGGGACAACTAAAAAGGGGAAGGCCCTCAACGAGATGGATTGACACAGTGGCTGCACAACGGGCTCAGGTATAGCAAGGATCATGGGGCTGGCATAAAACCAGGCAGTGTTTTGTTCTGATGTACATGAGGTTGCTATGAGTCGGAGATGACTCGACGGCACCTAACAACAACTGTAATATAAGATCAGAAATGTGAAAATTAACATCAATCCATACTTGATATTCAGGACTATGGAGAAAGTACAAAAGAACATGGTAAAAACAGCGACAGCTAACACTCACTGGGTGCTTACCATGTACCAGGTACTGTTCTAAGCACTTTACAGACATTAATCCATTTAAATATCGTAACAATGAAGGAGCGTCTAACATTCTCTCTATTTTACAGATGAAGAAACTGAGGCACAAAGAGGTTAACTATCTTAACCAATGTCACCATGTAGCCAAAGGAGAATATGAGAAATGAATCAAGGTGTCCTTGGAACCTGAAATCTTAAAGATAATGCATACTGCCTCTAAAATAAATTTTAAATACAGGAGACAGTAGAGAAGACACTATCCTAAGAATGCAGCGATATGAATTCTATCACTCCCACTTTCTGTGCAACCCCAAGCAACTTATCTCCTCTCTATTTTCTTATCTGCAAGATGAGGTTAAACCAGCTAAATACTTCCTTACTGGGCACCTTCCAACTATAATAATCTAAGAGAAAGGAATTAAATAAGATATAAATATATAATACATACATTTTACATATACATATACATACATACGCATGTGTGTATGTATGTATGCATGTGTGTGTGTGTATATATATACACACACACACACATGCATACATACATACACACATACATACACATATACCATACATATATAGCTCTGGTGGCTAGTGCCTAAGGCATTTGACTGCTAACCAGAAGGCTGGCGGTTCAAACCTACCAGCCACTCCTTGGAAGGAAGGTTGGGTTGGGTGATCTATTTCCACAGTGATATCACCTCGGAAACGCAAGGATGGGTTGCTATGAGTCGAGACTGACTTGACGGCAGTGAGTTTGGTTGCATAAAAAATACTGTTCATTCCTGACAAAAGTCATTCATGGAACAAGAGTTGTTCTTAATTACCCCATTACCCTACCCCAAAAATGCCAATGGAAAAAATATTAAAAAGAATGGAAAGAATTTAAGGAAACCTAATGAGTCAGGTCCGACTCAACGGCACATAACAACAACAATGAATAAAAGATGAACTACCCAAATTTAGGTCTTCTTTAGTGCCTACACTAGGACTGATCCTTAAGGAATTTCAGAAACTAAAAAAACAGCAAAGGATTATGCTATTTAGGCATAAGTTATATCTTTATATCATGTCAGCAATGTCTACAAAAACCAAACGAGTTGCTGCTGTTGATTCCAACTCATGGTGACCTCATGTGTGTCAAAGTTCCACAGGGTTTTCATGGCTCTGATCTTTCAAAAGCAAATCACCAGACCTTTCTTCCAAGGCACCTCTGAATGAGTTTTAACCAAACTATAGGTTAGGAGCTCTGCACTTAACCATATGCACGACCCAAGGACTCTGCAGGTGTCTACAATTTCTTATTATAAGGGCAGCCAACATGAATACTTTATCATTAGCTGAACAGCTTCAATTACAATAATTTATTCAAAATTTTCAAAGTGCAAGGTATGGAAATGCACTATTCTGTGCAACCACGGGTGCCACACCACTACACTACCACCCCAATAGAAAGAGCAGTTCCTGTACTATTTCTACTGCAGCTCTTGCCTCAAACATTACTTACCAGGGTACAGGGAGAAGGCTGAGGAAACAGGGGAACACTTCAATACCTCTGCAGAGAACAGCGAACAAACCTTCCTTTTGCTCCCAAGCTGAAGTGTTTTTCAACTCCCTAATTGGATTTCTTCTGTGATTTGGCTATGAGCTACCCTTTACTGAGTATTTACTATACACCAGGCACCGTGCTATATGCTCTATAAATCTTATCTCATCTAATACCCTCAACAGTCTTGTTTGCCTCTAGCTAGCCAAGTCCTGTCTTGGTGTGCATCTATTTTTTTTCTCCTCTTCTCCAGGTTAATATTCTGCTTTTTCTCTATTAGTCTGTCATTAAAAATTTGATAAGGGCAACGAAATAGGTTTTAGTAGTGTTGTTGTTGTTGTTGTTATGTGCCGTCGAGTCAGACCTGACTCATAGCGACCCCTCCTTGGGTTTCTGAGGCAGTATCACTACAGAAGTAGATTTCCCCATCTTCCTTCTGAGGAGTGGCTGGTGGGTTTGAACCTCCAGCCTTCTGGTTAGCAGTCAAGTAGCCTAGGTACTATGCTACCAAAGCTCCTTTATAATTATATGGCTATTTATATATTACATATTATACATATTATATAATTATGTTATATAATAATTATAATGTAAATATACTATAACATATATAATATATAATATAAAAATATATTAATAACATGGCATGAGCTTCACTAAGCTGGTAACAACAGTTATCTCTGGAGCAAAGATAGATTGGTCATGAAGTAAGTCAATGGGGCCTTTCATTTCATTTCAATATTTTATAAGAAGGTTGCCACTATACTCTTGGGAAACTGTATGCTAGGCAACACCAAAAATAGTAATAATGATAATGATTGTTATTATATATGTAAAATATATATAAAATAATTTTTAAGGACTAGCATTCTATCACCATCACATCACTAGGGAAGTTCAGAGAAGGAACAGGCCCGAAATCTCAGAGCTAGTTTGCAATTTCCTAGTAACTTGTAATGCACAAAGCAGGGTACTGTACACCATGTTCCTAAGGCTAATAAGAGAAAGCTAAGTTACAGTGTGCCCACTTGGTCCCCTGAGGAGGCAAACCTACCCAGCTAGACAAAAGACAGCTACAAACTTGATGGATAGGAAACTATGGGCTCAGCAAACAAGATCCATCATTTCAACTACTCTTGCCAAAATCCTCACCTCCCTTACTGTACTGTCCCTCCACTGCACCCACCCAACAAAATCTCTGCTCCAACTCTCCCCAGACTGGAGAAGAGCACCCAACTACACCGACTGGGTAACCCATAAACACAAAATATGCCCCAAATATGTATTTTGACCAAATACTGAATGGTCAAATGTTAAAAATCAACATTCTGCCAAAGCTGAAACTAAAGGAAAGTTAAGTATTACCATTATAAAACAAACTTCTGGGATACAAAAAATAAATCTAAAATTTTATTTTTAAAAAAAATTATGAAAAATTTAAGTCATTACAAATTTGACATTGTATGATAAAAACACAACTAATGAACTATTTCTGTTCACTCTACTATACATCTGCAATTGCAAACAGATGGCCCTAAGGCCTAGAGACAGCACTTACCAGATTAGATGATTTTTAAAAATCTAATTAAAAGACAGTTTAAACTGTCCCACTCAAACCAGCTGAAACTTTCATTTATTTATATAAACTTTGCCTTGTTCTAAAAAGTGTTTGAGACAGTAATTCACATACTCTACACATTTCCTTATAAATCCCCAAGCTCACGAGCTTAAGTTCACAAAGAAGTTGACAGCTACATAGAAGTACTTTGCATGAATCATCATCCTCCCTTGGCCCTGCCAGGTTACAGTAACCAGCACTACCTAGCAAGGAGGGAAAGAGTCAAGCAGAGTGGTACTCTGAACAGCAGCGCTAGCTCCCAAACATAGACTAAAATCTTAAAACAAACCTCACCTCACTAGATGGTATTTTCAGGTTGAGGATATCACTCCTAACTTTTGCTGATCAAATCCTGAATGAATCAGATGTGGCCAGTTATATATGCATATGCTAGAGCTCTGGTAGCATAGTGGCTAAGGCACTTGACTGCTAACCAGAAGGCTGGCGGTTGAAACCCACCAGCCACTCCTTGGATGGAAGATGGGGCAATCTACTTCTGTAGTGATACCGCCTCGGAAACCCAAAGAGGGGTCGCTATGAGTCGGGTCCGACTCAAAGGCACATAACAACAACAACAAAGCAATTTTAGTTCTGCCAAATTCTAGACATAAGATAATGCGCAAATGATATCTTACCTGAATAATGGGAAATGGAAGATAATTCATGTTGTTGATAAAATACAGAAGGCTATAGCTATAGCCCATGAATGCTCCAGCCAGTAGGAAAAACAGGTGATATTCATTTAAGCAGGTTTGTGCAACAGGACTATCTAAGCTGAAGGAAAAAAAGTTGTTTTAATTCAACAGTATCAGGAATGCATATCATTGTTTAAGACTCAATATTTACTGAAGGCAAAGTTTTGATTTAATCACTTAAATGGTCCAAATTTTAAAATAGCTTGTTTTATTTAGGTAAGTGAGGGCAAGGGACTCATAAAATGCTTTTCCCTGATGCATGAGAACTGACCTTTAGTTAACTCTCCAGCTCTATCCCCCTGGAAATCTGATAAGAGTAAGAATATCAGCTATGATACTGAGCAACATTTCTTTCTTTTAAAAAAAAAAAAAAATCCTGGTCAGTAAATTCCTTCTGGAAAACTTTATCAGTCCTTGGTTATTCCTGCAGTACACTAAGCCATCACCATTATTTCCAAGTGGACTGACACAAATTATTAATACATTTTTTTATACCTAAAAATGCTCAGCTACTAAGTGAAAGGTTGGTGGTTGAAAAGGCTGACTTGGAGATCCATTTCCGAAAGATCACAACCATTAAAATACCTATAAAGTGCAGTTCTAGTCTGACACATGCGGAGTCATGAGTTGGAATCGAATGACAGCACTGGTTTGCTTTGGTATATATACCTGATGGAGATGCCATGACTCTGGGTTTCCCTGTGCTGGCTCATTACTGGGCTTTCCCCTGTGGGGATCCGGGATGCTGTGCCTACGAAATTGCTATAAAAGATACTGGACCCTGTGGGATATGAAGCTTTTAAACTATGGCCTCCCATACAAGTCTGACAGGGATCTCTTCTTGTACATGAGCTGTTAATGAGAGCAGGGGTGGGGTGGGAAACAACTCCAAGAGAGGTGTGAAACTTATAATCTATATGAACTGCTACAAGGACTTCCAATTTAAAAAAAAAAAAAAAACTCCTGATGCTTCCCAGGTGGCAAGTTATGGTTGTCTTGTAAATTCAGAGTATTTAGTTAAACCCAAAAGGAGCCCCTGGTTAGTGGGCACTGCCATAAGCCATTATCCTATCATCTGTGTGAAACTTTTAATTGAAACTTAAGACCTTACCTATTTGGTGAACATTAAGCTCTTAAATTCTTTTGAAATTTTATTGAAAATCTCTATAATCTATCAAATATCTGAGTTGTATGAAGCCAACACTTCATAATTCAGTGTGCTACTGTTACGTGCTGTCAAGTCAGCTCTGACTCACAGTGACCCTATGTACAACAGAACAAAATACTGCCTGGTCCTTCCAGTAATGTACCAGACAGTGTTTCACTGCTATTCATAAGGCTTTCTTTCATTGGCTAGTATCTTCAGAAGTGGATGGCCCCAACCTTCTTCCAAGTCTGTCTTAGTCTGGAAGCTTTGCTGAAACCTGTCCACCATGGGTGAACCTGCTGGTATTTGCAATACTGGTGGCATAACCTCCAGCCTCACAGCAACATGCAAGCTACCACAGTATGAGAAACTGACAGACAAGTGATGTAATAATTCATAATTCAGTAGTAGTCAATTCTTCATGAATGAAGAAAGATTATGGACCTGCCCCAACCATCTGTCTCCATGAGAGGTGAGATTCCTGCTTGATTGCTTTCTGACCCTGAATTATAAGATGATAAAAAGAGATTAGTTTGCTTGAGATTCTAACCGTAAAATGATCAGTAAGTATATTAATTATAAGCACTAATCTCTTTAACAGTTCTAGTTTACTGCTGCCTCTTGCTAACATTTTCACTGTCACCTCTGCTAAAGAGACAGAGATATGCACAAGGCATTCAAGATTCCACCAAATGAAGAGCTGGGATCTCCTTATCCAGAGGTCCTTTATCACTGAATGTTCAACAACAAGGAGTTTTCACTAAAGACAATTTACCACATAACGAAAAATACTGCCTCATGTAGCAATAGCTGGAGGCTAAATGGAAATTAAATATTCAGTACTATTCCCATAGCACTATTCCAAAGTCAGTGGAAAACAGGGACCCTACATTACACCATTAATCTTTTCTGATTTTTAAAGTCAGAAATCAGCTTATAATTTGTATCAATGTCATGTGTTTAACAATGGATTAAGTTTCAAAATTATCCAAATACACTATAGAAGGCAGTAATAATTATTCTAAAATGTTTTCTTCATTCTTTCTATACTACTCTTCCTTCACACTAAATTCCACCTCCTCCAAGAAGCCATCTGTGTATTCCCTCTACTTTTTCCCTCCTATAACATCCATATGTGTCTATGTTTTAATCTCCTTTTTGGTCCTCTCAAGGAGCTTCCAGTCTATGTATGAATCACGCTCAAAAATCAATAGCAGTTAGCATAGTGCCTTGCACATAATAAACTTTAAAAAAAAAAAAAAGAATCACTGCATCCAATAAAGGAACTCTGGTGACATAGTATGCAATAAACATGAATCATCAAAACTGCTTGATGTTTCCAGACTCTGTTAGAGCCTGGAAAGCAAAGAATGTCCATAAACTATTAACCAATATAAGTCACCTTTGCCTTAGTACCAAAACAAGGTTCCGTAAAAAAGAATGTTTGCTATTACCTCTCAGCACCTGTGCAAGGAACCACAAGAAAACTGTATTGACCCTTGGTTATCACTGCAGCACACCAAGCCATCACCATTCCCATAGAAGCATGGATAAATGAATGCATGACCTGCTGAGGATGAATGATCTTCCCTATCAATGCCAGTCTGGAGCAGGGAATGCAAGGCACAACTGTAAACAAAGCACATAATTATGGCTTTATAAATCAGCAGCATATTAAGTTAGAGAACCTAAAACTACTTCTCATCTCTGCATAAATATGCTAAGGGGCAGGAAAAAACCAAAGTCAATGAAAAATAAAGAAAAGAAATACTCCAAGTTAAAATAATTTGAGAAAAGATCGAATACAAAGAGATATACTCAAAAAAGAAAAATCAAAGAATCTGGAGCAGAGAGATGAAATCTAAGGATAGCATGGTTAACATTTTCATTTCTTTTTAATTACAATGTCTTAAAAGCTCAAATAGTACCTATTCTGCCATTCTCTAAGTGACATAAAAGAGTAAATAACAATAATAGAAGATAAAGTTCTTGCCTTACAGCAAGCTATCACACTTAAAATAGTCAGTATATACTGCATCTGTGAAAAATAAACCACAAACTGCATAAATGCTGATAACACTGAATTCTAAAGTAAATGCTTGTGTGGCAAAGAATGCTGAATATACCATGGACTGCCAGAACAAGCAAATCTGTCTTTAATGAAGTACAAAGACAATGCTCCTTAGAAGCAAAGATGGTGAGACTTCACCTATTATAATTTTGTTAAGTTGTCAGGAGGGACTATTCCCTGAAGAAGGGTATCTTAGTAGATGGTAAATGAAAAAGAGGAAGACCTTCAACTAGGTGGATTGGCATAGTGACTGCAACAACAGGCCCAACCACAGCAAATGACCATGAGGATGTTACAATGGGCAGTGTTTTGTTCTGTTGTACATAAGGTTACTGTGAGTCGGAACTGACATGATGGCACCTAACAGTAACGTGGGGATTTTTAATACCCTGATAATGCAAAAAAAAAAGTCTTCTGGAAATGAGTTGGAGGAGGAAGAGTGTGGATGGGATACTGACCTTCGAAAACAGCTAACACAGCATTCCCTGACATTCTTTATTTTATTTTATTTTATTTT